TACAAAACCGCAATGAGAAGTTTGTGTTTTCCAGTCTGACGACTATTTAATTCCATGTTTTGGTTGGCAACATACACTGAGCAAAAAAAAGGACGGAGTTTTACCTTGGACAATAAATAAATTTCATGCACTTTTTAAATGACATTATTGTGCAGAGTATGCTGCCAGTTGAATGAAACAAAGTAAGGAAACGTGGAGGGAAAGTCCACTGAAAAAAGAAAACGAAATGGTGGTAACGAAAGAACGGGATAAAAATTGGTTGGGGCAGGGAATGAAACCGCTGAGTCGGCTGTGGGGGCGTGGGCGCGCTGCCCGTCGGGGCCAGGGCCAGGGGGTGCGCCGGCCCGGCCGACCCCAGCTGCTCTGTGACTGTGACACGGTGACCGCGATCGCATTGCCCGCCCGGCGTCCGGCGGGTGGCCCGGCCAGTGTTGCATGGCGTCGTGTGACGCGGCGGGGGCGGCGGGGGGCGGCGGGGGCCCGCGACGACTATGGGGCTTGTCTGCTTGTCGCGAGGCGGGGCGGGGCGGGGCGTTGCGCAGGGCGATCGAAAGTGGCGCTATCCCTGTGATATCGCCCGGAATCCGTATCGACCGGCTCCCTCGCATGTCACGCCAACTATAAATAGGGGTAGCGAGGTGGTGGCGGGGGAGGGAGGGAGGAGGGGGGGAGGATATTGGGAGAGGGGTGAGGGAGCACACGGGGGGCACTTGCACCCTCTGGTGCAGCACAAGCGCACACAACCACCGAGAGGGAGAGGCGCGGACTGAAGCAAATTGAAGAAGGAATGCCATCGGCAAATGCCTATTATTGCCATGGTGGTTTGCCATGGCTCCATCATTACACTGTAAAAAGGTGTGCAATACTATGGCATGTATGGTATTGTTCAAGTCTATGGAGCACGCTCTTAGATGTTGCATAGTAAATTTGAACACTTTAACGTTTTCAAAGCTTCATGTCCACCAACCCTGAAGTTGAACACTTCTAAGCATGTTTTAAAGTGTTCACTGTTGAACACTGTTATAGTATTTAAATATCCAGTCACACAATTTAAAGTGTACTCAGAAGACCGTTTAGTCCAAGAACCAAATTCAAATCCGTTGAAATTTTGGGTCGACATACCAAATTTTATCCGTGGTGATGAAATAATATAGCCAAGCTGACTTAGTTTGATTAAAGCGACCCTATTTAGCTAAAAATTGGGTTACTAAACTTAAGCTGGCTTTGGGAACTAAATTTTGTTTCTTACAACCCTGATATAGTTATATCAAGTAAGTGGTTCTCTGGGTGTGTGCAATGGGGTGTTGAGCACCCACCACGCCAGTTGCACACTTTATCCATCAATTTACACACATCATATGTCCGCGCTAAAAAAATCTTCTCAATCCATAAATAGTTCAATACACGCAAGGGACTTAGAGATGCAATTCAAACAAACTCACGCAACAGTTTGTTCCACGACCATTCCAGATAAGTATCAAACATGAGTGAAATCATGTCCCGCGATTTCCTGTGAATGCGACATTGATTTCACACACTTCTCTATGTATTGTATTATACGGTGTGAAATTTCGACGTGCGCACTTTTTTATGTTTCCTGCTCAAATGGAAATTTCTATTATTATTTATTTACAAATGAGCGGTATTGCACGTTTCCGCACAGTGTCCAACGTGTGGCGCTCTGAGAGCATATTGGCGGGGTCAGTGGTTGCCCTCTGGCCGTTGGCTCCGTCTCTGTCGCTCTCACTCGCAATCCCGCCTCAAACTCGGCATCTCTCCCTCTCTCTCTCTCTCTCTCTCTCTCTCTCTCGTCATGTTTTACAAGCGGGCCCTGTTAAGCGGTGGGCAGTCGCTCGGCCCTGTGCCAGGCGCGCCGCGCTGGCAGCTCTGCTCAGCTCTGCCGGGCCGCAGCCGCAGCGGAGCGCAGCCATGTCGAGCCCATGAGGCTTTGTGGTCAGCCTGCGACAGCGCTGCAGCTGCAGCTGCTGCATCGACCGCCCAGCTGATCGACGGTGCATTGCGCGGGCCCAAGCTCTGCGTCGCCCCCTCCCCTTTTCATTTTCCCTTTGACACTAGCAGTGACCATCGCTAGAT